TTATAACCCCGATTTGCTATTGTGTGCTGCGCATTTTACTGAGGATACCTTCCACAACACGAGGGAGTACAGTGCCTGCCGGATTCACCAAAAAGTTTTTGTTGAAAGACGGAGCAAGGGGCGTGGCAGTACTGAAACACTGTCTAAGCTGATCGCCAATCACAACGCACTGGGACAGCTAACCAATCACAACACATTTTGTTTTTCGGAAAGGCGGACCTTCATCAAAGCCGGAACTAATTGAGCCGTTTGTGCCAGCCTGGGGAGAAAGGTATTTTAATAATGTAAATTATGTGAAAAATAATGCGTTTTTCGAACCACCAAGCATGAGGGCATGTTCTAGTACACCCCCAAAACAAAATCAAGACTTCGTTAAAGAGCATAATAGGACCCCTTTAAAAGACGACGTGAAACTCATTTCTACATTAGTGAAGTCAACAAACATAAATGACAATGTCAGTTTTACTCTTGCTGCTCTAGGCAAGTGCAGACACAATTATTATTAATGATGAAACTCAGTTTATATAGTATTCATTAAGTAAGATCTGGGGGTTCAAACTTTCTGGCACGCAAAGTGAATCACACGTGACTGGACAGGAAGTGTGGCTTCGGCTGTGTCCTGTGTACTGTCTTGAGTAGGTACTTCTTTGAATAAGTAATTACTTTGCAAACAGAAAAAGAGTATGTTCTATATAGTATGAATGTGTGTAGAATTAATGTGATCTGGACGTACTACATTTGCCATGTTGTCATTGTCACTGCCATTCATAAATCCTCTCCCGTGGCCTCATGGGATAGTAAAGTATCCATCATATGCACACTTCAGAATCACGCAGGAAATAGTAGGTCATCCAGGTAATTTTTGCCTAGCTCTTTTATGACTATTGTGAATTAATGTGAGTACTGTACTATACTTCTTTTGTCACATACTGTTTTTTGCCTACTATATAGTAGGGAAGTATGTGATGTAGCCTTTATTTGCCATTGATCACGTTACTCCGTGAAACCAATACACTCCCCGATGTGGGGGTTCACAGGAGATTGTGCAGCATGCTCAATAAGCACCTCGAAGTGAACACCGCTAAAAACCAAACCACTTTCATGGTCCCTAAAATCCAGAGTTGGCACAAACTAAACTGAAACTTACCTGATTAGCTAGCTAAACCAGCTTCATGGGATAGGTCCCGGTTTACAGAGCACATATTTGTCAAAATGCGGTTGTAAGTCCTGGAAATCTGTGTGTGTGAGTTTGGTTATATAATGTTGTGACTCTAGTAAATAACTGAACTGTATGTTAACGTCACTGTATTAAACACTCATATACAGGGCTGTCAACCCGATTCTGCTGCTGTATGAATGAAGTATATTTGAGCTCCATTGTCTAGATTCCAGCTCTGCTCCCTCTGGACGTTCATCATCATGAGGTGAATTCCGGCATAATTTTACACTGTATTAAAAAATGGAACGTGTGATAAGACATTATATATATTTTTAATGATTATTATATATTTATATTTTAGGCACATAAGCAGAAGCTTTAATATAAACTATTTACTCAAATAAAATTCAATGGAATTAATCCCTAAATGCATTTATGGAGTTAAATAGTTTCAGTGTCCACACAAACACACACATCTGTTACAGCTTTGAATATTAGCATGAGTCATAATTTATAGTTCACAAAACATGCAAATGCTTATACTGTATTCTCATGTTACTCAAAATTTTTATTATGTATAGTTTAATTGTAAGACTAATTTGTTAAAGTTACTTCTATTAAATTGAACATACACATCTGATCAAAGTAAAATCACAGGCCATTTCGTCCTTGTACAGAATTGTTTGTACATGTTAATAATAAGAGGTAACATGAGATTGATAATTATATTGTCATATAATTGAATTATTATTAAAGACATGCTGTTAAGACTTCACTCACCATAACTATAATAAACCCACTATGCACTGAAAATCTGATATTAAGTTGCTTAGTTCAGTTCCACTCTAACTCCACCCCGTAGCCAATTCTAAAGATTTGATTGGTCACATAGACCACAGTGCTGATTACCATGCTACAACTAATCGTAAGCTTAACCAATGAAATTGGCTTCAGGGCGGGGTTTACACTAAAGTGATTTGGGGGAAAATTCACATTCAATTTCTGTAACATTTCTGTACCTGAATACTAGTTACACCTACCTGAAAAAAATTAATAACTGTTAATTTCATTTGTATCTTTAATCTGTTGTATTATTTAGTAATATTGCTTGTAATTTATTTGCTCTTATTGTTGTTACTGAGTGTTTACTTCTTAGTTGGAATCAATTAAATTCAGTTTGAAATCAAGCTTCCTTGCACTGTGTAAGCTATTGTGCAACAAGATTATCTAGAGTTGTGCTTTCGAATTTCTGTTAGTATCTTCCAAATGATATAAATATGAATAAACTCTTAGTTATATAAACTGTAAAAACAGAAAGAGGTGAGATGATATTAATTTAAAACAATAATAATAATAAAATAAAAACAAAATAAATGTCTAAAATTTCCAACTCCTGCCTCTATTTTCCTGTTTACTGATTTCCCCCCTCATTTTCAAAAACAACATTAAAGTCCTGATGTATGGAATTTCTCCTTTTTTCCCTTGATATGTTTAAATTTATCTGCAATAACTTTAGCACTTGATCCTCCTGTTAGAGCTGCTCCTCCTGCCATTAAAACTACAGGCAAAGCCACTCCTCCAGTAGCAGCAACTAATGCTGCACCTCCTGCAACTGCCACTCCTACACCTGCCACACTCGCTCCCACTAAAGCTGTAGCTTCAACCTTTTTCATCATTATCTTTTTCTGAGCTTCCTTGTACATCTCATTTGTGTAATGCTCTCCTCCATTCTTTATCACCATTATGTCTATTTTCTTGAACAGTTCAGTAACCTGTGCTGGATTTTTATCAATGTTATTAAAAACGTGATACCTGCCTCCACACTGTCTAACTAGCTCATTAATCTGCTTGTTTTTGGTGAGAAACTTTTCTATAGACTTGTTTAACTGATCGCCTCTAGTGAACAGAATGATGGTGTAACGTGCAGCTTCTTCTCCAAAGTTTTCCTGAATCCATTTCACTGTGTTTTTCTCCTCGTCTGTGAATCTCACATCCAGTCTGATGACCAGCAGAAACACATGAGGACCAGGAACAGACATTTCTACACATCTCACTATTTCATTCTTCAGTTTCCCTTCACTTGTTTTTGTATCATACAGTCCTGGAGTGTCGATCACTGAGATGTTTCGACAATCCACTATCTTCTGACGTTTCTTGCATTTCTCAGTCACAGATTCAGAAGAAAATTCTTCCTTAAATGCCTTTAGTCCCAGTATAGTGTTTCCTGTTGCACTTTTTCCAGTGCCAGTTTTACCCACCATCACAATCCTGAGATCTGACATGATTAAAAAAATATATAAGGACAGGTGTAAAGATTTATGCATTATAGACTCTAGACTGTCTCTAGATAATGAGCTAATTTTATGAAAATCGGACCAACAGCACAGGATCTCCATTTCCTGAATTGTTAAAGAAAAAAAAACGTATCTGGAATTCAGATTTTTTTCTTTTTCTATTTACATAGTAGAAGGACACGATCATTAATATTCACACAACAATTTTTATCTAAAATGTATCTATAAAATAGATAATTAAATCTGTAACTGAAAGGACCAACTTTTCCATAAACATTTTTTTCAATCTGGAAAATAGCTGGCTAGTGGACAATAATAATATCTGGAATTAAAATGACATATTTTAGTAAATCAGACATTTCTGCACTCAACAAGTTTTCTGTATCTGTGCTTTATGGACTTTGAGACCCATAGAGCACAAAAATAAGATCTTAAATTTCACTATTACATCATATTTTACAAATAATTTATTACAAAAATAATTTGGTCTCATTCACTAATAATTGTGCAGATTATTCGTATTTATAAGCACATTCGTAAACATTCATACACAGGTTTCATGCACAAATTTGTGTACGTATGCTTAGTCAATGAGACCCAATGTATCAACAGTAGAATGATAGTTCCCTTTCAAGGGAACTTCGAACTGCGTCCTCTAGGGTTTGCTATGGGGAACGCCTCATCATGACCCATGTCTGAAGCATACATTAAAAAAACACCAACAACATGTTGGCTGGCGACAGCCTATGACATCACTACCGGTGTGACTATAGTATAAATAGGCGCCGAGAGAACACGTCATCATCTTCTTCGTCTTCATTGACTGTTTTGTTTGAAGCGTGCATTCCGATGGTAAGAGCGATCGTTCTTCCTTTATTATGGCGAGCACTAGCAAGACGTTTAGGAGATGTGTGCATCTGTGTCTTCGTTATTTGACACCTGATGACACACATGATCTTTGCGTCTTTTGTTTGGGCGAAGAGCACGCACGCGATGTCCTTGAGGGGGCAATCTGCGATAACTGCGAGCGTTTTTCAATGAAAAAGCTGCGCTCTCGTTTGTCTCTCTTTTCGAGGAAAAAGGGGCAGCCGTCTGCTTCCCGCGGTTCAGGACCCGTCGCTGCTGAGGCACAGAGGAGAATGAGGTCGTGGGGATCGCAGGCGGATCTGGCTGATGAGTTTAAGGAGGGGCATTCCCTCTCGCGCTCGGCCGTGGACAAGGGTGAGCTGCTGGAGGATAATGTGATTTCCCTAACATCATCTGATCCAGGGGCCAGTGCTCTGCTAGGTTTGGCCCAGGAAGAGCAGGAGATGTCTGAGGAGGGCAAAGAACCTGAGGCTGAGCCTTACCAATCCTCCTGCCCTGCGTATGATGAGCTACTGGAGGTTATGGATCGTGCCACCACGAGGCTTGACTTGCCGTGGAAGCGGGCCAAGAAGGTGACGCCGCGAGGTTGTCTCGACGAGCGTTATCTGTCTGACCATAGCCTTCCAGCTCAGGTGAGCATCTTATCGGTTCCAGCATACGAGTTATGCCAACATTGAGGGGATGTGCGAAAGCGGCTATGAGAAGATGCCCCCTGTAGAAGACACGCTGGTTAGCTATCTTTCTATGGGTGAGACATCCTCTCTTAAGACTCCCTCCTTGCCATCTAAGCCCCTTCAGGATATGCAGCAGCAGGTCAGGCTGTCGCTTCGTTGCACACGATAGCGGTGCTTCAGGCGTATCAGGCTGATCTACTGAAAGACCTGGATAAAGGCAAGGGACTTTCTCCCGATAAGGTAGCTGAGTTGCGCCACACCACAGATCTCGCTCTCTGTGCTACTAAGCAGGCCGCTTCTGCTATGGGCAGGTCTATGGCGGCCATGGTGGTAACGGAGAGACATCTGTGGGTGAACCTGGCAGATATCGGGAAGAAAGAGAGGGACTTTCTTCTCGATGCTCCAGTTTCGCCTTCAGAGCTTTTCGGTACCTCCGTCGAGAGGGTGGTTGACAAGTTCAGGGAGGCGAAGGCGCGCTCAGCGGCCTTCAAAACCTTAATTCCATGAAGGTCCAGGTCTGAGCCCGAACAACCCAGGGGTCCTGGCCCGTCTCGGTCTGAGGATCAGAGATGGGCACAGATGGCTAGTGTCGCGGCTCGCGCTCCTCCCCCACCTGCGGGTAGGGCTAGGAGGAATCACGGGTCAAAGGGAGGTAGGCAAGACCTGAGGGAGGGGATCCAGACAAGGCGTCAGCGCTCTCGTCCAGGTCCAGGTCTGAGCCCGAACAGCCCAGGGGTCCTGGCCCGTCTCGGTCTGAGGATCAGAGATGGGCACAGATGGCTAGTGTCGCGGCTCGCGCTCCTCCCCCACCTGCGGGTAGGGCTAGGAGGAATCACGGGTCAAAGGGAGGTAGGCAAGACCTGAGGGAGGGGATCCAGACAAGGCGTCAGCGCTCTCGTCCGGACCAGCGTGATACCTGAACATCTACTCATCTCCCTCGGGGGGTTTAACATCTGCCCTTATATCCCCTTCCTAATTCCCCTGTAACCACCATCATCTCCACCTGACCGAGGTTAGGTAGGAATCTCCTGTGCCTGCATTACAGTCTTCTATGCTGGACCTATGATGTTTTCGGTTGGTTCTGTGTCTTACATAGTAACCACCTTACTGATGGTCTGGACTAGAGGCTTCTTCGAGCTTCGCTTCTTGAATGGGGCTCCTGCGCGGGAACCATGGTGGATGAGTACAATCCATTTTGAAAAAAATTAAAAATATATATTTAATGCTCTGGTTGTTGTGTGAATTCCGTCTGCTAGCCTTCTTTGCAGTGTTTTCCGAGACCTGTGTGTTCTGTCCTTTTCTATGGTAGGTCCTCGGTGAGCACCCCCTCTGCTGGACTCAGAACCGGGTTCTTGACTTGCAGTGATGATCTCACTCGTCGAGGCTGTATCCAGTCTGTATGATAGCCTTTTTTCCGGCTTCATACTTCCTGGATCATGCGGCCAGATCACAGGCTTCTGCGGGAGCCTTCTTGGTCATCAGGCCCCCGGCCCAGCACTGCAATTCTCCTGGATATCTGCACTGGGCTTATGCTTTTCAGGCTGCCCTGTCTGGTATGCCATATCCAGGTTCGCTTCCTGTGGACCAGGATATCCCCTCTCACTGAGATGTCGAGGGGCAAGTATGAGTGGCATTTTGCGAGAACCCTTCTTGTAAAGTGCTATCGCAGGCAGTGCTCCCCTCGCCTCAGAGGGTTTTCTTTGAAGCTTGCCACTCCCGTTTGGCTCAGTACTTCTGGGCATCTGTGAGCAGATGCTTGGGAATCTCTATAAAATCTATGCTATGGTAAGTGCACACGCTAAGCTTCTGTGCACTTTCTAAAATCCACATGGTGGTAAGTGTGCACGCTGAGCACTTTCTAAAATCCTGTATGGTAAGGGTTATGCGTTATTAGCCTCGTTCCCTTTCTCTGAGTTGGCTTGGACCCCGGTACTCGCCTTGGGCTTCACTCAACTAGTGTGTCTCTGTTGACACACTTTTAAAGCATCACTCCCCTCACTGTTGAGGGTTATTTGTGAGCATGGTGCTTTCTTCTGAGTGTTCAAGTTCTCTCCCCTTCTGAGGAGTTGAATTCCCTGCTCCGTGGGCTGTTCTCGTGGTGGTGTTTAGCAGTGCTCCCCTCTATCAGAGGGTTGCCTATGAGCACGCTACCCCTTTTCTGAATTCAGAGTTCTCCTCTCACATGGAGAGTTGAGTTCTCTGTTTTTCCCAGAGCACCTGGAACCGGCAACATCAGGCGAACTAGGCCCTTCCTCTGCCTCCCTGATGCGCTGAGTTTTTGGCTAAGCTTGCAGAACGCTTACCCTTCTGATTTCTAACGAACATGCTTTAGGTCGAGCCCCCTCTCGGCTGAGAGCTGGGTGTTATGCTCCCTCAGCTAGGTAACTTACTGCTAGCCATTCCAGCATTATACCATAGATTGAGTTGATGACTTCTCAAACATATTGTTCTTGGGATGCACCATTTCCATCTATGGGCTGCTCTTTCAGAGTGCCACAAGGGCCCCTTAGAATGGTATCTTTAAAATCCATGTTATGGTAAGTGTGCACGCGAAGTCCCTGTGCACTTTCTAAAATCCACACTCTGGTAAGTTCGCACGCTAGTACTTTGCTTTCTTTCTAAAATCCTGTATGGTAAGGGCTACGTGCGGTGGCTTCGTGCCCTTTCTTGAGTTGGTTAAGCCCCGGTTCCACCTTGGGGACCACTCCACCTATGTATCCTCAGGATACCTACTTTAACAGGGTGTTAACTACTACTAAGGGTCTGTTGAGACAGTTCCTTCAGCAAGCTCATGCAGAGCAAGCGGTAGCCCCCTGGGTGACAGACCAAGACCTAGTACGATTCTAGGCACTTGGTTGTATCCCCTTAAAGGAATCTACTCCTGATTCCTAGCCTTGAGCTCTACCCCGGGCCCAGGAGTTTTCAATTGCCAAGGTGTTTGTAGAGGGCTGTCTATATAATTTTAATGCTATAGCCTTTGTGTATATATTTAAAGATGTGCATCTTTAAGCATGACAGTTGAAATTAAGTGGCAACACTTTAAAATAAGAGTCCATTTGTAGCATTAAGATTAATGAAAGCTATGTAAGTATTGTTCCTTGTTAGAGGGTGTTAATTTCAACATTTACTATTACTATTATTATTATTTTTACTACTACTACTATGGTATGGTTCAGTACTGTTTTTGTTAATAAAGCACTATTTTAGTTTTTGTTCAGTATCAATTTTAAAACAATCGGTTAATTAATCGGTATCGGCCAGTGTGGTCCAACCTAGCTATCGGTATCGGCAAAATCCACTATCGGTCGACCTCTAGTCTTAACGTCCCAGGGGCAACCCCCATGGCTATGGTAGAGTTGGTACTTATTGCTCGGCTTGGTTTTTTCGGGCATGCACTCCCCTCAGCATGGTGGCGTGGGTATACCGTTCCCCATAGCGACCCCTAGAGGACGCAGTTCGAAGTTCCCTTGAAAGGTTTTTTGATTGTATACTTCAGACACGGGTCACGATGAGCCGTTCCCTATAGCGACCCCTAGAGGACGCAGTGTCTCATTCCCTACTCAGGGAACCATGGTTACATAAGTAACCTGAGACGTTTTTTTTTAAATAATGTAGTGCCACTGTTAGTGAATTCACCTTTGACGTTTGGTTTGTGTGTTTCGAGTTTTGTGTAAAGTTCTCACCGTCGTCTGATAGTATCTGTATAGTTGTCTTTTTGCTCATTCCCCAGATTTTTTCCGGTGTCTTGACTACTTTTTTGCCTCTCATTCTTTCATTAGAGAATTCCTCGAATCTGTCTAATGAACTGTAATCCAGGTTTTTATATATGTGAGTTGTTCTCATTGATTCTCTGACATAAGAAACAAAACTCTCTTTCTTTTTAATCACAGTATGTGTTGATCTCTCTTCCATTGTACTTTCCATTTCAAAAAACTCTTTTATTTTTGCTCGTTCTTGTCTTTTCTCTTTATTTTGCTTTGTTTCGCTGTATGTATTTTCTTCTTCTCTTTTCTTTCCTCTTATGCTTTCATTTTCTGGTTCAGTGATAGTGTGTGTCGTTCTCTCTTCCATTACATTGTGGGTTGTGAAAGTCTCTGGTGCTGATTTTGCTTGCTGTTGTTTCATTTCTGTCTCTTTTCTTTTGTATGTCTTTTCTTCCTCTTGATTTTTCTTTATTCTTATGCTCTTTGTTCGAGACACTGAGTAAATCTCATTATTGTAATGCTGGTGATTATTCTGTTTGATGGTTTCATCAATCTTCTGCAGAAGCTCTGTGATGTGAGTTTGATTCATCTCATTTTTACTGTTGATTGCATGATAATTATCTCTGCAGTGACGGACCAGCCTTTGAAATTTTGTATCAAGTATAAAGAGCATCCATTCTCTCCTTGACATTTTTTCTCTTCCAGTGACCAGAACCATGGTGAACTTAAAAGCTTGAGCTCCAAAGAACTCCTGAGTCGTTTCCACAATGTTCCTCTGCTCCTCCTCAAAGTTTTCCAGGTTCATGACGAGCAGGAACACGTGAGGACCAGGATGAGAGAGATACATACTCCTCACCATTTCATTCTTCATCTCTTCATCAGTCAGTTGAGTGTTGAAGAATCCTGGAGTGTCGATGATGGAGATGTTTCTGTCTTTTACTCTTCCTGTCTGTAACTCACTCTTTCTGATACTGCTCTCTTTAAATGCCTCTTGACCCAGTATTGCATTTCCTATTGCACTCTTTCCAGCACCAGAGACTCCCAGCAGCACAATCCTCAGATCCTGTGAATCACCTGCATTCAAACAGTTCATGTCATTAGCTGGAGCTCTAGATTATTTGATTTATAATGTGTCTGTGATTCTAACTGTTTCATCCCCAATTAATAACAATAACCCAGTTTCCTGCCACTGTGTATCATGCACAATTTCATGCTATCATTTGGCATGCTGTTTTTACACTAAAGCATTGGTGGATTTTTCTGATACTGCTCTCTTTAAATGCCTCTCGACCCAGTATTGCATTTCCTATTGCACTCTTTCCAGCACCAGAGACTCCCAGCAGCACAATCGTCTCGGTTACGTATGTAACCCTCGTTCCCTGAAGGAGGGAACGGAGACGTCACGTCGGAGGACCGACGGGAACACGTGAGGACCAGGATGAGAGAGATACATACTCCTCACCATTTCATTCTTCATCTCTTCATCAGTCAGTTGAGTGTTGAAGAATCCTGGAGTGTCGATGATGGAGATGTTTCTGTCTTTTACTCTTCCTGTCTGTAACTCACTCTTTCTGATACTGCTCTCTTTAAATGCCTCTTGACCCAGTATTGCATTTCCTATTGCACTCTTTCCAGCACCAGAGACTCCCAGCAGCACAAACCTCAGATCCTGTGAATCACCTGCATTCAAACAGTTCATGTCATTAGCTGGAGCTCTAGATTATTTGATTTATAATGTGTCTGTGATTCTAACTGTTTCATCCCCAATTAATAACAATAACCCAGTTTCCTGCCACTGTGTATCATGCACAATTTCATGCTATCATTTGGCATGCTGTTTTTACACTAAAGCATTGGTGGATTAAACATATGGGCACCTGGTGCACAGGGGCACCACGTTCAAGGGACATCACAATCATTTTTCCCCCCAGTAAAACAAGTAATCTACCTTAGCTAGAAAGCTGTTCCTACTGTAAATAAAGTAGAATTTATCAGAGTAGGCTGCATTATAAAAAGTGGCAATTTCTACTTTCCTACTTGATCTAACCTTTAAAAATGACTTTTGTTGACGTAACCTTGTTATCAGGTTAGTGTATTAATACTAATATATTAATACATTTGTATTTAATAAAAATAAAGAGTTAAATTTCAATGTTTTCATAAGAAGCAAATTATGAAGAATTCATTATTGCTTGTTTGCTTTTCAAGAATTTAAGACTATAAATAAATAAATAAAATAAGGGGCACCTATGTATCAGCACATTAAAATAAAACTTATGTATGAAAAATTGCAGCTTGCAAGTAAATTGACAAAGACAGAATTGTCATTTGTAGGTTGAGATTAGAAGGTTTTTCAGATTACATTAGTCTAAAAAATTGCTGTGGTCTTTAATTAGATTTAATTTGGGATGTTGAAAAACTAAAACAGGTTAGGGTTTGTATAGGTTTATGCTTTCATCAAAGAAAAAAAACTACTGATCTGAAATTGTTGATTCCGCAACTTATTCATACACATTTTCATCAATCACTCAATCAAAGATATGAACAAATATAATACAGTATAAGTAGTGTAGATCATACAATAGAAACTGCAGGTAGATATAACAATTAGGCATGATATACATTTTTTTAATAAAAATATAATAATTTTACAGAGTATTAAAGGTTGGGGGGGTGTTTTTAACACTCTTTCTTGTTCTGGTGTAATGAATTATGATATTAAAAACGTTTTAGTGTATTGGAGAAAGACAAGCTGATGAATCGAGCACTGATGTTTCAATGTGAACTTTGTTGTATTTTGGCACAATCTACAAAACTTAATTGCTGAATGTAACATCACTAATTTCCCTTTATGTGACCGTCTATATCATCTACAGGACAGACGGTCCTAATCCACCAGCTAACCTTGGACCTACTAGCATACGTTAGCAAGCTATCAGTTAACATTGAACTCAGTGACAATGTAATGACAGCCAATAAAACAATTCTTAGATCAGGGAAGTCAAGCCGCTTTCCTGAACAAACTAACGAAGGCCTTTACTTGAAAATCACAGAAAAGTGAGTTGGATCAGGGTTGGAATTAAAATCTGTTATTATTTTTTAATCTGTAAGAAAGTTCTCTAAAATATTTGATGTGATAGCATTAGGACAGTGGCAGTGATTCTCTTAAAACTAATGTATAATGAAATGTAGTAAAACACATGTCGTCATTTCTAAATGTAGTAGAACAGCTTTACATTAAAAAGTTGTAATATGACTTTTAAACATGAATCACTTCTGTTTAGTGCTGCCAATGCCACAAACAAAAATATAACAGTACATAAATTAGTTCTCAGTATTATATTAAACCAGATGTATATAATGAGTATCATATTAGGTTATTTAATTAATACTAACCTTCATGTTCTGATTCCATTATGTCTCTTGCAGTTTGTTTTGGTCATCCAGAGTCTCTCTGTCTTTATCTGACTGAATGATCTGAAGAAGAGAAACTAGAAGTGTCTAAATTGAACCTTGACCACTGATCATCAGTCTAACTCCACCCATTAACCGTAATTTAGACACAGTACAGAAAAAAGTGTTTGGCTGTAGCACCCGGAGCAATGCCAGTCTTTTATCTTCACCAGAGTTGGGCTTGGTTAATATTCCTAGAACATGCTACAGTATATAGAATGCTAACACAACTGATTTTTAACACATTACAATACTTTGATCTGAAGAAGAGAATATATTATATATATATATATATATATATATATATATATAAAATTTGTCAGTATTACTCGCGTTACCCAGTAAATGATTAAAATTAGCTTATATTCATATTTTGTAGTCTTAGGAATAAACTTCCTGAAATAACTGATGTATTGATTAAAAATAATATTCATGTTTTAGCAAAACACATCTTGATCAAACATTGTCAGATGATGTAGTGAATATAAATGTTTATAATATTTACAGGAAGAACAGAAATAGGTATGGTGGAGGGGTAGCCATATATATTCAAAGTCATATTCCAGTAAATTCTATTCTGAATAACTTCTGTCCCATTTCTGTTTTACCATTTATTTCAAAGGTTTTAGAAAAAATTGTGTTCGACCAACTGCAGTTCTTTCTAAATCTTAATTGTATTACTGAAATTTTTCAATCTGGTTTTAAATCTGCTCATAATACTGAAACGACCCTTCTCAGAGTGTTAAACAATGTCCTTTTAGCTACCGACTCTGTGGTCCTGGTTCTCTTAGATTTATCAGCAGCATTTGACAGTGTGGACCACTCTATTTTGATATCTAGATTAGAGTCAGACGTGGGCCTAAAAGGTACGGTCCTTAAGTGGTTTCAGTCATTTTTATCCGACAGAATTTTTCTTTTCGTCAAACTAGGTAACTTTTCTTCCTCTGTTGCTCCTCTCACCTGTGGCCTCCCTCAAGGCTCGATATTGGCGCCCTCCCTTTTTTTTCCCTGTACATGCTTCCTCTGGGTTCCATTTTAAGAAGGCATGTGGTGTCTTTTCATTTCTACGCTGACGATACCCAGATTGATTTACCTATTAAGAGAAATGATCCTTCAACACTTAGTACCTTACTAAGGTGCTTAGACGAAGTCAAAATCTGGCTAGCTGAAACATTTTTGTTTTCAGTCCTACTGATCATCTGTTGTTAATTTTTTT